AAATCCCGTTTCTGCATGGGATTTCCCCCGTGTGATAAACTCCTAAGTTGACTCACCAGTCAATAGTTGATTTAATGGATCTAGTCTAGTTAGGGCCATCTAACAGAATTCAGGCTGATATTATGGTAGTGTGGGAAACAGGATTCTCCCAAAAGCTGCTGGTGCCTGAAAAAATTCTTTGCTTTAAAAAGACCATGACTCCAAAAATATGCTTGTCTTTTCCACTTGTGTGAAATTGTTTCTCTCCCACTCTTCCCTTCAAAAAAAAAAAAAAAAAAAAAAACAAAACAAAAAAAAAAACTCTGCTTCATCCATCAAAAGAACTTTTCTTAAAGACAGATCAAACCTTATTGGGCTTAAAATCCCTTCAGGGCAATTTTCACTTCTCAAAAATTGCTGTAACAACAAACACGTGAACCCTTTAAAAAATTGGGAAGACTGTGGAATAGAGTGTTAGAGGCTTTTTCTAAGACAATTCATTATCTTCTTTTTGAGATAACGCAGAGGTTCTTCAACTATTCCTACTGTGCTGGGGAAGGCACTAACCACTGCTCTAACCACATCCAGTCTTCCACCTACCTAGGTAATTTTACACCTGTACTGGGGTAGGTATTTTGGTAAGGAGCTTCCAAAGACAAATCTTGCCAAAAAACCTCCCCCATTTAAAAAAGCTGAAGGAATAGAAACTGGAAGTGGCTCCCAGACCACTTCAGGCTTTAATTATTGTTGTTGTATTTGTGGATTTTTGGGGCAGAGAGTTTGGAGTCCTTTGTTAACAGCCTTTAAGTTGCCCGCGACTCATGGTAACACTGTGGATGAGATCTTTCCATGATCTTCTACCCTCCACAGCTCAGCTCAATTCCTATAGATTCATGAGAGTCTATACAGACTGCCAGAAATAATCCAGTTTAAGACCACTTTAACTGCCCTGGCTCAGTGCTAGGAAATCCTGGGAATTTAGTTTATGGTGGCACCAGAGATCTCTGACAGAGAAGGCTAAATGTCTCACAAAACTGCATTTCCCAGCATTCCCTAGCATTGAGCCAGGGTAGTTAAAGCGATCTCAAACTGGATTAATTCTGGAATGTGTTTTGGATGTAAGGTATCTTCAAGGTTACCTCTGTCTTTAAATGGTTCTGTATATGGAAATGACTTGCAACTAGTTTTTGTTTTGTTTTGGCAGGACTTTGAATGCAGATTGCCCAAGGGGAAAAGTCTTTTCAGAATGTGCTATATTGTTTATATTTGTTGTTTTTCTTTTTAACGGTCATGCTTTTAACTGCCTTTAATTCTACTGTTAATTTAACTATATTTTTAACTTGAGAATGATGTAAATGTTTAGTTGCATCTGTTTTGACTTTTGTAAGGTACCTTGAGTGCTGCAGAAAAGGGTAAAAGGTGGGATATTATAATAATAATAATAATAATAATAATAATAATAATAATAATAATAATAATAAACAACCACCTCTATCTGCACTTTCATTTTTGAAGAGATTTTATTCAAAAGGATGTGAAAATTTGTCACTTTCATTTTTGTTGCATCCTAATCCCACTAGCATTTTTAATCCCAGTTCCAGACAAGTCTGTGAGACTTTAAAAAATGTCTGCAAAAACATTTCAATTGCATGTTTCAATGGTTGTTCTTTCTAAAGGAGCCCTGGTGGTGCAGTGGTTAAACGCCTGTACTGCAGCCACTCACAAGGTTGTGAGTTCAATACTAGCCAGGGCTAAGGCTTGATTCGGGCCTGCATCCTTCCAAGGTTGCTAAAATGAGTACCCAACTGTTGGGGGGCAATGAGCTTACAGTTGTAAACCGCTTAGGTATCCCATAGCACAATATGAAGCGGTATATAAATGAAGCTGCTTTGGCTTGTTTTGCTAAAGGGCACAATTTTGCACCTGTTTTCACAATTGATTAAAGTACTTTGTTTTCAAGACAATATGTGCTTCATTCTGTTTCCAGTATCAGGAGGTGCTAAAACAGGGTGTAGCAATGGGGAGCGGGGGGAGAAATGAAGATATTTTCCCCAGAATAAAATCTCCCCCCCCCATGCAGTATTTAGACATCCAAAGAAAAGAGGCAGGCAAAGTTATCAAGGGAATGTGAACACAGCAAATATAAGCGCTCTAGGTATGAACAGAGAGCCTGTATGGTGTAGCGGTTTGAGTATTGGATTACGACTCTGGAAACCAGGGTTCAATTCCCTGCTCAGTCATGAAAACCCAGTGGGTGACCTTGGGCAAGTAGCACTCTCTCAGCTTCAGAGGAAGGCAAAGGCAATCCCACCTGTAACAAATCTTTCCAAGAAAGCTCCATGATAAGTTCATCTTTGGCTCACCATAAGTTGGAAACAACGTGAAGGCACAATAACATCAAGGTATGGACAATTTCCATTGTCTCACTCTCTGAAGTACTAGAAACTTGGGAACAGAAGGATACTATCATTTGGAGAATTCTTTTTGGGCCAGTGCCCTCATTCTGCCCCCTTGTAGCAACACCTGTAAAAATAAATATTTTTATGAGACAATGTGAACCCAACTAATTAATTTTTTTACCAGAAACCTCAAAAAACTAATATGTGGCATCTTATGGGGAAAGTATTGACAACAACATATGTGTATCTGTAAGATCTTGTCTGCATAGGAAGAGGACCATTTTTCAGAGTTGCGATTAATGTTCTTAATTACTTTTCATTTTGCTCATAGCTGTCAGATGAGATGATTCCTCTCATTGTCCATTAGTGTGAGGAATCTCACTCTAAGGTGTGAGCATTTTGTCTCCATGGATTCAGGCACTTAAGATGGTATTAATAAGTGAGTCTCTTTCTCTTACTGCTAGTGCTCAGAAAGGACAAATTAATTATGCAGAGAATGCTATAGTTTGAAAGCGTAACATTTGGTACACATGGCAAATATGATCTTGAAACATGCAATTTAGGAAATTTCTTTGATTTGTCATCTGGAACTATGATTACTGTATATCTTTGACAGCACAATGGTATACTAATCTTTCCTTAGGATAGGCATTCTTATTACTAGCTAGGTAGACGAGGACATTTGGGACAGTGCTATTTACTTACTCCCCATCCATTTCATGAATCCAGGAGTGCCAACGTGTGGCCTGTGGGCCATATGTAGTTCTCAAAGGTCACTTGGTGTGACCCCCTACACAACCTTTTTTTAAAAGTAGTTTTTCTCCTATGGAGATAGGATGAATTTTGTAACATGTTTGCCTGTCCAATGCCTAAAACAGACCAGGGGCTTCCCAAACATTGCAACCTCCATGGTATTTTTAAAAAACATTGAGGTGTCAGCAGGATTGCAGTGGGATGTATGTGTGTATGTGGATCTCCAAGTCCAGAGGGGTATGAGCAGCCACTGGACCACTGGTTGTTTTCCACTCCTTCTGCCAATGATCTTTTGTCTTTCCAAGGAGTGTGCTGTATACTTTATTCATGAGCTTCTTGTGTCCCTGCTCTTCTGCTTTTTCATTTAACAAGGGAAGTGTCTCTAGGAATGCAAGCAAAGGAGAAAAAGGTGGGAAATTGGAAGAGGAGGAGCTTGTGACATAAGGAAAATGAGAGGAGGATGAGGAAGTGGTTGCCATCTTACCATGATGAAAGGGAGAAAAGGTAACAGTAACATCTTGGAAAATCAAAGAGCTTCAGGTTACTCGTTTATCCATGTGCTGAACAAGAATGATCCAGAAAGCTAGGCACATCAGATAAAAGACATTTTAGCATCTTTCTCAGTTTCTCATTTAGCATTCTGATCTGGAACATTTCAGTTAGCGAGATAGTGCAGTGCAGTTGCATAGAGAAAAGCTGAGTTGCTTCCCTAGTCTCTCTTAGAAATCCAGGGGAAGGGTTCAATTTAAAGGTAGATTTCAAGCTTCTAAGCAGTAATTCGGGAATGTCTTCAACTAGCAGGATTAGTCCAGCAGCTGGCTACTTATCATTTTGAAAGCCTAGCATTTGTAGCATTTTACAGCAGAGATCTTTGTTCTTTCAATCAGGCCCATGCTGACTTGTCCAGTTGAATGGGTGCTAAAAATCTTCCAGGAGATCAAAGCTTCCATCCTGAAGAACCTTCCTTAGGATGGAGCCACAGCACTTAAAGTGGTGTCAGACTGCATTATTTCTACTGTGTAGATGCACCCTCAGATCCCAGATATCAAGTAGAGACTCACATGTAGCCCTCAAGCTGCATGTTTGCCACTCCAGAATAACTGTAACAGATTGCATGCAGTCAGTTTTGCTTGAGGACAGATGAATGCTGTAGAAAGCTGAGGTTCTTCAGTTATTTCTCTAACTTTATTCTGCCAACTCCAACCTGGTGCCCTGCAGTTGCTTTAGACATTAGTTTACACCATTGCTGGCAAACCTGGCCAATGGTCATGAAATCTGGGGACTGTATTGCATCTGGAGGGTGGCAGGCTGGAGTATGCGTATCTAGTGATTCAGAAGCCACATAGATATTTAATTCTTTTCCATGACTTTGCCTTTCAGAACTATCTGAGTCTGGTTTCTTCAGTGCAGGTCATTTTACAACTCCTGTTAGGAACTGTCAGATTAATTTTCACATCCATTCAAGTGTTACTTTAAGCTTTTCTCTCTTTACGCAATGGGAGACTGCATTGTGTTTCTGGAATGCCTTCTAGGTTTATCATAGTAATTATTGCCGGCAAGTTATTTTGGCACCACTTAAACTAATTTGGGATTAGACTGCTAATTTTTTTAATGATCCCTTTTCATTTTGCTTCTTTCAGTACACTTTAAGAAATCTTAGGTGGCTGAGGGTAGAGGTTTGAAAGGCAGGATGAAAACTATAATCCAATGTAATAAGTTTATGTGGAAATAAAATGTTATACAAATTTGTGCAGGTGAAGAACAATGCTTTTGGCATAACTTTCAGAGGTTTGGAGCAGTCATTGAATGGTTAACAATTGTTAGTTAATATCAAGTGTCTCATTGGAACGATGCCTCCTTTTCTAGTTTTTGTAAGAAAAAAAGATACTACCAGTAAACATTTTTTCAGAGAAAACCGTGAGAGAGACATTGTTTAGTCATGTGGCCTCTGCTTTGCTAAGCATGGATCTACAATATCAGCAAAGCAGTGATGATAATGATGGGTATGGTGCATGCATATGCTATACCTCATACTTAACTTCAGCTAAATGCAACAAGTGGATGCCTAGCAGGAAGGTTTTTTTCCAGTTGTTCTAAATGACCTTAAATGGAAGGAAGTGTTAAAACACTAAGGCTAGTTCTTCATCCTAAGCTTCTCACAGAATCATAGAATTGTAAAACAGGTAGAGAGTGCAAGGACCATTTATTCCTTTTTTTAAAAAAAAACAACCCTATTTTTATTACAATTAAACAACAACAACAACAAAAACATAAAAAATCAATACGCTACATTTCTATATACCTAAACCGAACAACTGAGGATAATAAATCACATTAAACTATCACTCTAACTAAAGTTAACTACTAAAAAAGAAAAAGAAAAGGAAAACATTAACAGACAAAAACAGGGGAACTATGGCTTTCAGCCTGCCTGTCTGTAGGTCTTTAATCTTAATCCTTTCTATTCAAACATCATCACATATTTCATAAATGCACTTAGAGATTAATACTTATAGTGTTATGATTTTATATCCGACTTCAAGAAAATCCCCCAAATAAAATATAAAATAAGACTATAAACCTCAATTATCACACATTACTTTTTAAGCAGTAATATTACCACATACTTTAAAAATTTAACATAAAATCTATAAACTTCAACCTCTACATTATAAAGAACATTTGCTACTTAAAACCCCCAAATCATCACAGGACTCTGCTTGCTTTCCATATAAACTATGATCCATCATAGAATTGTAGAACTGTAGACTGTGGTGTCCCTAGGGTTGATGTCACCTGATGTAGGCTCATGGTGTCACCCTCCGCCATTGATCTCCCCCATAGCACACCATGTAGAATCCTTAGTAATGTTTTTTTTGTGTACTAATGTTAGTCATAAATTGTAATTCCAGTATTTTACTAAATGTTATGGTAATAGTTGTGACATAAAACAACTGGCAATTAAAATTATACCTTTATATGATACAATATCATACGCACAGCCTAAATGTATTTACATGTAAATACAATGGAAGCTTTGTATCTGCTGTTGTTTGGTTCTGGGTCTCCACGTGGAAAATTTAAAAAGAATAAAAATTTTAAAACTTTTTAAAAATTAAAAATTTAGTTTTTTACGATCGCAAGGATAATTTATTCCAAGACACTGCAGGCACATACATAGATGTCCATCAAGCCAATGAAGGAGATTCCACCATTTTATGGGGTTGTTTATTCTGCTATTGAACAGCTCTTACCATCAAATGTTTCTCCCTGATATTTAGTCAGAATTACTTTTTTGAAATTTGAATCTATTGGTTCACGTCCTATTATAAGAGAACAAGCTCGCTCCAGATATTTAACATTGGATGTATTACCACAGTGTCACCACAGTAATGCAGGTAAAAGTGGAAGGCAGTAGGAAAAGAGGAAGGCCATATTACAGGTGTGTAGTGAAGTGGATTGACTCAACAAAGGAAGCCAGGCCTTTGTATCCATTCAGCACCCATTCAAAGGAAGTCAGCCAAAATATAAGCATGGTTGTTAATAACAGGATCTCTTGGAGGTCTCTTATTCATGCATTTTCACTTTAAGTTGAAGTCAACTAAATAGCTCATAACCACAACAAATATCAGCTTTTATTCATGCTAAATATACTCCCCTTCTCAACCATACCTCATAGAGCTTGATTTCCAGGCCCTTTACCATCTTTGTCCCTCTCCTCTGTAGAGGGGTTAAGGATCCATGTTACCTAGTAGAAGTTATT